AATGAGGGATTTAAATATGAAAACTAGGTTTCTAAGCAGAGGCTTGATGACCACTATTAGTGAAAATGTGGAGGGAGGGGATTGTTGGCCAGATACTTATTGTATTAGATGGTCTTTGATGTATTTGATGGTCCCTTGCAAGTCAGATTCTGGAATACTGACTAGATTATCTCTAAGGTTTCTTTCAGCCTAAATACTTATTATTTCTACACCATAATACTCATTTTGAATTATGTTAAAAGATAAAATGACACCACTGCCTTTTGACAAGGTATGCACTTTTATGGTGTTTGTATGTTCTTAAGGCACAATATACCTCGTGCAGACAACATTCATTACCCTCCCTATAGAAGAAACCACTTAACTGCTCTGGCAACCCTTTTTGCCACTTTGAAGACCCAAACATAAGTGTTTACTGTTTTCAAGATTATTCTCAGCATCTAAATCACTAACATTGGATGATGTTGGTCATGCAAATGATAGATAATAGAAACTAAGAGACTTTTCATTTCAGGTTAATTTCCTCTTAATCTTGGGGATATAGACCCTATCCTTCACTCCTGATCATCTGAATGCCATTCCTATCTGTTTATGCGTTTTTAAGACCCAGTTAAAGCCTGTTCTAGGAAGCCTTCCCCAACTTGCCTCAGCCCTCAGTGTACCTTCCCCCTTCTGTGTATTTATTGATAATTTATTAGGTGGTCCTATTCTGTCCCATCTTCTCCAGCAAATTGTCATATCTGTCCTACTCTTTCTCATCTCCATTCTCTCCCTGGCTACTTCCTTGTTGCCTAACAATAACCACGTGTCTGCCTCATCCTCAAAAAACCTTACTTGATCCATCCATCAGCTCTAGCTGTGGTCCTTTATCTCGTCTCCTTTTTGTGACAGAACTCCTTGAAAGGTCATCTACAGTCAGTGACTCTGCTTCCTTTCCTGTCATTCGCTTGTTCAGCTCTGCAGTCTGGTACCAATCTCATCATCTAACTGAAACTGCTCTCTTTCTCTATTAATCACCAAATCTAATGTCCTTTTCTCGGTCCTCATCTTTCACAACCTCTCTGTGGTCTTTGACTTTGTTGATTACTCTCCTCTCCTTGATGATGTCTTCTTTCTTGGTTTTCATGACACTACTCTCTCCTGGTTCTATACTCTTTCTCAGTCTCGTTTGCCAGGCCATGCCTCCCCAAGATTTTGTAGGGCTGTCTTCTCTTCACCCTCTATACTATTTCACTTGGTGATCTCATCAGCTCCCATGGTTTCAATTATCATCTTCATGCAGATCATCTACTAATTCAGCCCTAACCTTTCCTGACTTCCAGTCTCTGTTCTCCAACTCATTATTGGACATCTTGAACTGGATGTTTACATCTTAAACTCAAAATGTCCAAAACTAAACTCCCCTTTCTCTTAAAGCCTAACTTTCCTATTACTGTTGAGGGCCCCACATCTCAGACCCCCAGGCTTGCAACCTAGGTGTCATCCTAAATTCATCACTCTCATTTCCCCCATATTTAATGTGTTGCCAGTCTTGTTGATTGTACCTTTGTAACATCTGTACTACGACACTGATGCGGGCCCTCATCACCTCATAGCTCAGCTATTGCGTACATTTCTGGTTGGTCTCCAGGCCTCAAGTCTCTCTCTACTTCTGTTCATCCTCCAAGCAGTTGTCAAATTGATATTTCTCTCTCTCTCTCTCTCTCTCTCTCTCTCTCTCTCTCTCTCTCTCT